GCGCAATGGTAGCGCAACCCGAACGTACGTCGGACTGAGGACAACCTGCTTGCTGGATGCGTGCGCGGTCACGGTCACTGTGGCAGACATTGATCTACGTAATCATCAGCGACGTGAATCCGTTAGACGGCGAACACGAACTGCTCTATGTCGATGGTGTGGGATGTGGAACAAGGAGAAGGCTGCGACCGTGTTCAACCTCTTCTATGATCAGTCGCACGTGTTCCGCGCTCGGCCCGGCGCTTAACGCGCAGAAACTTTTTTCCTGTATTCTTACGAACGCACAATCCGTGGTGACTGTTTTCGCAGAGCCCGTATAGAGGTATTTTACGACGTCGAGCGAGTCTTTTTTAGGGCTCGGCAGGGTGCTTCGTTGTCCACCTAGGCGGGTGAATGTTTTCTGTCGTCCTATTGCGACCCCGGAAATCCTTCAGGTGGGCGCATCGTCCTGAATGTTCAATAGCGAAGGACTAGCATATGACAGCTTGGTCGCATTACTTGGTCGGAGAGATGGTATGGCTATGGCGACACCAATGAAAGCGGCGGCGTTGTCCCGGCTACTCAATCTTGAGTACGCGCTGTCGCGGCCGGTGCCTGTGAATGATTTTGAGGAAACGGTGTTCATTATTGCATTCTACGGATACAGGGTTGCGCGGACGGCTGGAAGCGCGACGCATTTCCGAAGATACTACTGTAATGCCCGCCATGATGGACTTTACTCAAGAGTGCGTAGGGTGCATCTCCCAGGCCTGGAGAACAGATGACCTGACGCGCATACTCTAGGCCCCTTTTGGTGTCTAAGGGGTTCTCGGACGTCTGTCAGGTGCTGGTAGGGAACTTGGAACCCACGCTTTCCCCTTTAGGTACATCATCTCTGTGTGAGAAGCGGATCTACGTTGAGGATACCATTTTGACTGGCGCACCGTCGAGTGCTCGTTCCGGAGCGCATACTACTCATTTGCATAGTCATAGCGTGGCCAGACGGCAGGTATCTAATGCGATGTAGACGATGCCGCAGCTCCCTCATTTCAGAGTTCGTACTAGTACGGTGGCACATGGGGCACCGCGGACGGCAACGTTCATGTGTTCAGGTCCGTTCATATTCCGTAGGTCCCACATATCATCACCGCGCTCTACATACTTCAGCCAGTGGAAAGAATCGATTAACCGTTCCCGCACCGCCTGCGCCAGGGAAGTGTCATACTCTCGTATACTCCCTTCATGCTGGACCATAAGGCTGAAGGAGAAAGCCGAGAAACGCGTCAACCTGAGGCTCATGAAATGGCAAGTTGCCATGAAACCGTCGCACCGATGCGAACCTGGTATCGGTAGAAGCACTCCCGTGAGAGCGGAAAAGCGATACGTGCTGAGGGACGTCAAGGACATGTAGGGATGAGGGGCTTGTCGGAAACATCGGACGAGAGCAAGAGGGGCGAGAGTCAACGCGAGCGGTTCCGCTACGACAAGCTCGCATAGTATAGAGGGTATCTGTACCTGGTCGCGTGTACGTCCCAAACGAGTTGACATGCATGCGAAGAGAACAACGACAGATGCCGCAACTACACCGATTGCACACGCCCTAGGCCGATCGTACAGTCATCGGGTATAACTCACTCCATCAAGTTTCATCACGAAGCGCATCGCTCTAAAAATGCGCACCGTTCACCTCAACACACGCCGTCTCGAACTAGTGAGATACGCACTGAGATTAGCCGAGGTGGGTTATCATCTTCCGTAAGACCGCTCCTGAAGCTCGTCTGAAGGAAAGGGAACTGCATAGGGTGTTCAGTCAATCGAGATCACATACGACAAAGCAAACCCACCAAACCAGGTACTTGTCGTTTCACTCGCAACACCTGAATTCAGTTTCGACGCGGTCAACGAGTCCAAGTAGTTACGGAAAATACTTTCTGTCTCGTGGTGTCCTTCCACCGATAGTCTTGCGGATGGATCCTTGACAGCTATATGTCGAAATCGGCCAATTGTAGCTCCGGTACGTCGCCGTCTTCTTCGTTGCCACTATTGAACTGCGACGACCGCGTAGCGATGATAGCATGAGACCCCCTCGAGTCAAATACAGAAGTCAGGCCTGGGTGAAATGAGAATACCGACGAATCAACCTCGAAGCCCGGTACGGACCCATCGAGCTCATCTCGCCGCGTAGTTGGCACCCGGCGGCGACGAATCTCTTAACACAATCTCGAAGCAGCGGCGCGATCAGCTTTCTGTCTGTGTACGTGGACTCTATATGCACTCTCCACGGGGTATGCCTGTCTCTGTCGGGACAAGTGCTAGGATCGAGGACATCGTGGTGGGTGTAGAGAACCTTCGAAAGCCTAATTTGACTGACGTATTCTCACCGGCGCCCGCCCGTCATCGAATCTTGATCTGATACCGCCGGAACACGGGCGGCCGCTTGCGTGCGACATGCGCTACCCGCAGTAACCTCCGCAAGCACTCACACGAGCGGTCGGTAAAGTCGGCGGGGTATCATATGTCCCCGATGGATCAGACCATCAAGAAATTCTAAATAGGCCTAAGCGCCCGGTTCAGCCCGATTAGGCACGTGGTCCCGATCGTTGTGGTGGTCGTATATACTTTCGACGCGGTTGAGTTCTAGTCCTTTGTCCATTTTCCCAGTCATCACCGAGTCAAGAAGTTCGTGGTTGCTCGCCGTCCAAGACAGTCCGCTGACATGATTTAACCAGACTTCTATGTCACTCATGGAGACCGCGACTACGCACGCATCCAGCAAGCAGGTTGTCCTCAGTCCGACGTACGTTCGGGTTGCGCTACCATAGCGCACGCTGCTGACACACCAGGATAGTTCCAAGGAGTACGCTCCAAAGATGCCACAGGACTTACGCCAGAAGCGAAGCGCATACGGATGGAAGATCGTCGCCGACGTAAAGACCTTCTCCTCGCGGCATCCCGTTGCCCAGGTCGTCGACCTGCACGACGTTCGCTCCTTTTACGAGAGTAAGGCCAGGGAAGTAGGCATATCCCGAGGGGTCAGCATCCTCCTGCTGGATTATGACAAGGCGACGAAATCGCTCACCTTCGTGATCTGGCTCGCTCGTAACTTCATCACCTTCTACGACAAGCTCTTGAGCCCCGACCGTCAAGTTAGAATACCCTCCCAGCAAGACATCTCCAAGTTCTGCGGGCTTGCGGGACTGGAAGAGCCTGGCTGGTTTCCCCTGTAGCTTCCACAGGATGTATCGGAACGCGCGCTGTTCATCAGCGATACCCACTCCGTTCCAATCTTATCTCAAATCGCATCCGGGCCCCACCAGCCTCTGGGCGCTACTCAGATAAGCGGCCGTATATGAGCATTGCTTCCTAGGGCACGTCACATACCTACGCGCCCAAAGTCGTAGCCAATAGTCAGACACGATGCCATTCGCAGGTTAGCATTCGGATGCATGCAGAGCGTCATGAGACCGCCGCCGCCGCCGTCTAAACGACAGTTGAGGGCGACGCCACCAAGCAAACGCGTTCCGTCACGCCTGAGCTCCAGAGCAAACGATCCGTGTCGGTTTTTCCTCTGTAATGCTTGGAGCTTCGCAACGGGAGGGAGGGCGCCCGCAATAGGATCAGGTGGCGGTGAGGAACAACGAGCCCGTCAGCGGCATCGCGGGACGTTCGCCCTGCTGTCGCATCATGCATGTGGGAACACGGATGATTTGATGCCCCTGTATCCACGTTATTGTCCTGATGCACCGAACGGCCCGAGCGTGTTTTATGCGTAGACAGCTGCTCGTCACTGAAGCAGAGAGGTCGGGTTGAAGCTCGCGACAACGCACGCCGCCGCCCCTAGGGACTGAAGACTGATCAGGCTTACGCCCCTGTCCAACCGCTCCATCCCTTTCGCGTACTAACTCTCACGGGGAGTTCGACAACGCCGGTGAGTTCGCTAATCCTTTTTGCTGTCCGCAACTCCCGCACAGTCGCCCTAGTTCTTGCTCGAGAACACTTCCAAAACCAGTGCGCACAGACGAACCTTTTCTCGCCCTGGACGGAGCAAATCCAGCGGTCGCCCTCCGGAGAAGAATCGTGGAAGAGCGCGGGCGCACTATACGACGGCCCAGTAACTCGATGGTCCGCATATAGATGTCAGTGAAAATTTGACCACCTGACCGCTGGACTCTGACGACGCTTGGACTCAAATCTCCGAAGGGATATGGACAGTACAAGGAGTACGGCGCACCGCGGAGGTAAACTCCCATCAGCCATCGATGAAATTGTCGATCTCCTCCACGACGCTCCGGCATCCTCCTGCACCCTTTCTGTCGTCAAATAGTCAACTCCCGAGCATCTGGGGGCCCGGGCTACAAGCACTATATTATTTCCGGCGTTGGCGAGCTCCCCGTGAGTGTTAGTACTCCCTTGAATCGACTCCGTCGTCTTTCCGTCTGGTTCATACTGACTGTGACTACTTTGCATCCGCCTCTCTGATGCAACGCGCGTTTGAGTCCCCGGTCTTGCACTCGGCGTCATACCTCGCATAGGCCAGCGCGCTGTCAGATTTCATTATCTAAACTTGCACTCGTAATAAGGCTTTACAGGCTCCCGGCTTTACGGAATCACGCGCTCGTTATATTATAATTCTGAGCAGCCAAACGTACACGTGGGATGCTACTATAGCTTGCCCTTTACAGTCCATGACTCAAACAAATAACGGGCGCAGTAAAGAAGTGCTATCAATGGCCGAGTAAGGAACGGTGAGCCCACACACCGTAGTGTTCACGCACCACTGTCTAAGAGCACGCCTACTCTGTTTCAGGCTCGTCACTTTCTACTGACCACGCATACTCGTCCACAGTATCCCACTTCTTTAGGTACCACGCCATGGCCGTCTTGAGCTTTGCCAGGCCATCCAAGTCCGTCGCCTTCACCGGAAACGACCACGACGGGTCCAAAGGAAAGTGCCCCGACGACTGCGCTTTAGGGGGAGGCCAGGTCTTCGGGTCGAGCTTGTCCTTATCCAAGTCTGGCTCGTGTAGTTCTTCATTGATGACCTCCTCCCTGAGCAAATCGCTGAACCTCGCCATCAGTGTGCCCATATCCTCTTCGCCGGTAGCAAGCGGAGCGTATGGCCGGAAGCAGTAGAGATCGCCGACCGATATCACGAGGAGGAAGGGGCCGAGGAAAGGTCCGCCTTTTCCGTCTTTTGGTCTCGGAGTGAGCCGAAACTCTTCCGACCGCGCGAAGAGGTCGCAGGCGGATTCGACCTGCCTGCCCGCCACCTCCATCTTCGCCACCAAGTCCTTGATACCACTCTTCGTGTCGGGCCACCCCGACTTGTCGCACTCACGGCGACTGACCGCCCGCTTTCCTTCGTGCATGCCGAAGGTGATAATCGATTCCGCGAGGACGGCGGGCTGTCCGTACATCCGTTTGCGCGCCTCTCTCCTCACGGTCAGGGTCATCGTATGATCCGGCCTCATCCACTGGATGTCGTCGCTGGGAATGATGAGAGTGGTGTCGGGGTCCTCGGCCGGGACTGGCGGCGCTGAGCGAAGGGCGGCGGCGTGTGCGGACTTCGACATCCACGCGTCGAACTCGGCATATATAATGATGCCCCTGCCTGCTCTGCGTCCCGCTTGCTCGAGCACCACGAACATGGGGTGGTGAAAATACACTTCTGTGTTCCGCCGGTTCTTATCGTAATCGCGCGCGCGACGCAGACTCGCAACTAGCTGATCCCAAAGATCAGCGTCAAATCCTGGTGCGTCGCGGGTCCCCTATGCTTGTCAGACGCCTGAAGTATCTAGATACGAGAGATACCCCACCTTGACGAAGACAGCCATAAGGCGGCCACGATCTTCAAGCGCTACCTTCTAAGCGTACTATTAGCAAGATCCTAACGAGTTGCGGACGCCGCCATGCGTACCTCCATTTCGTTCAGTATATTCGCGACGACTTCCCGGTACTCAGCCTCCTTCGCGCTCGCCTTTCTCTCTTCCTCCTCCTTCGCCGCGCGTGCCTGTCTCTCTGCCTCCTCCGTCGCCGCGCGTGACGTTGACCGCGTCTCCCTTCTATCTGACGCCGCGTCTTCCCGCTCTGCGCGCCCGCTCCCGCTCCCTTCAGCAGACTCCATATTCTCCCTCTCCCTCTCCCTCTCCTTCTCCTGCTCTCTTTCTTCGTCATCCTCCCTCTCCTTTTTCGTCCTCCCTTGCTTTCCTAATCGTCTCATTCCCGATAGCGTGTTATGGTGTAGATGGTGGTGAGGTAGAGAGACGATAACCGCACGCACTACACGTGTAGTGGGTCTTCCCCGCACGCGAGTCAGTTTAACCCAGAACCCTGAGAGCCCGGCTTGCCTCGCAGGCGTAACCTTCTCACGACGAAGCGTGCCACGTAAGAGTCTACAGGCGCTCATACCCTTTTCGGGGTGTAATGTGACCTTACTTCCAGAGTCGGCGCCAGGTCTTGCCGTCCACACCCTTCCACCGGGTGCGAAAGGTCTCGTCGCACCTTTGACATTAAGCCGGGCTTCCCCGATGACATGCTGCCGCTGAAAACGCTTGGGGCACATCAGCCAGGACCGCCCTGTCCACTTTTTGATGTGGGTACGTGGTCCCTTCATAGTACTGGACTCATATGAACGCGTGGGCCTGTCATACACTCGTCGCCTGCCCGCAATACCCGCGTCTTACGTTCGCGCTCGGAGTTTTACCCGCACAACGGGACAGGTATCGGGGCCAGCGGCGTTGAGATATATGTAAGAATATCGCGAGGCTCAGCCTCAATGTAAGAGCTTCGGTTACGCTGGAAAGAAATAAGGACATGTAGAAAAAGACAGGATGAGAAGAGTTTGAATACTGTCGCTGTATGAATACGGATGAAGATGATGATGGAACCGATTTTATTGCGGCGCTCATACCGTTTACGGCTCATGCGGCCACAACGACGATTACACCATCTTGTCTACGACGGCAAGTCGGATCTCGGACCAGTCTTCCTTCTCCTACCGCTTCTCCGGATGTTGCGCTGAGTCGAAGGGCGTGTTTCGTGCGGGCGTGTGACCCGATCGGGCCGCTCCACGCCGGGGTCTGGAGAAGGCTCGGGAATAGACCCTGTGGGGGATTGGTTAATAGGGGGGATATAGTCTGAGCACAGAGCGTGTTGAATTGGGAATGGGCGGCATAATGGCATGTGTATACGAGGGAGAGTCCATAAATATGGACAGACTCAGCTTGTGTTCCTTCGTCCGCATGCGCGCGTAACGCGGGAAGCAATTCGTGGCCTGCACGTATCGCATAAGGGCGCCAACATGCGTGTGACCGAGCAAAATGTTTCCGGTGCATGCCGATATTCCGGACCAAGCGATAGAAGTAGCGGAGGTGCCAGAGCGGTGGGGTGGCGGAGACAGACGGGGTCCGCGCCGAACCCATAAAGGACCACGTAAATACATGCCATCAGAAGCAGTTTCTTGAAAACCATTGCATACGCACTGTGAGCCGACAAAAACAGTGGAGATGTGCCAATAGGCTAATAAGAGGCTCGGGGGTAGAGACGGCGGACACGGAATCGATTGAAGGCGTCCGTTCGTTGACATAACGGTGCGCCGATACATCCGACGGAAGAACAGGGGACCAAAGATGTCTGTCTGCTGAGATAGTCTTTCCAGACGTTCCACACCTTGCCGGTCAGACAATCGGCGAAGCAATCTCGCGCCGGGGAGATTCGCGGTGAAGACAGGAGCAGCCGAGGTGCGGAACGTCTGTGGCATCTCGTCGCCGAACCTACCATTGGCGGGGCCGTGACGGTGACGTAGCGCGTGCTGCGCGTGCGCATGAGTAGGATGCGTCGACGCGTTCGTTGACTGCCGTTGTCGAGTTTTCGCTCCTACCGTCATGTCCAATGATCCCCAACCTGTACCTCCGCCTCGTAATAGCTCCAACGATGCACTCTCTGACGAATCAAGAGCGCGTGAATCCGCACATAATAAATAATACAGACGCTCTATGAAAATTACTTGAGGAGGCGAGAGAGAAGGTGGCGCCGGGCTACACCTCTGCACACGCCCGCAGGCTCATGCCTGAAGAGTGCCGGAAACAATCCGGCGGAGAGATAACGCCGTTTTCCTGGCAGCTCAATATAACGGAATTCCCGCTATTGGGTGTGGACGCGGAGCTGATAGCAGCGATGGGGGTGGGAAACACAATTCCCTTCGTATTACCCTCGTTCTTAGACCCGAAGAAGTGCATCGTGGTCCTCTCGCCATTGATTGTACTCAAAAAGAATCAGGTATGTACATACGGCCTGTTAGAGCTGCCGACGAAGCTCATGCAGGCACAGGAGAAGCGTTTCGCTGCGTTCGGGATCAAGGCAAAGGCCGTGAATGAAAGTCTGAACGCGTACGGCGGGTACGTCCCCTTTTCTCGAGCATAGAGCAAAGTTACTGAGCCGTACCTCAGAACTTCAAGCACGGTCGATACCAGATCACTTTCACTTCGCCCGAGATGTGCATCCAGCACCCCGGGTTTCGCACAATTCTCGAGAAACCGAAGAAGGGGAAGATAGCTGCATTCATTATCGACGAGGTACATTGCATTGTGCAGTGCGATAACTTTAGAACGGCATACGCAGAACTCGGTGCTTGGCGCGCATTCGTTCCGGCACGAGTCCCCTTTCCTCGTCACCTCCGCGACTTTAAACCCGCACGACCTTCACGACGTGCGCAAATCCGTGCATACGGTTCGACACAAGACGTTCCCTCTCAATATGAGGAACGACCGGCCTAACCTGTACTGGGAAGTTCGCCACATGAAATCCGGCATTTCGGACACCGATGCGTTATCGTTCCTCGTACCAGAGGATAGGGGTCCGGATGCAAAGCTCGACCGTGACGTTGTCTTCTTTGACGATCTCGGAGACGCTATGATGGTCATGCGTGCGTTCAGAGAGCAGTTGCCCGCGCACCTACGGAAATGCGTTCGCTGCTATCACGCACGCAACGGCCACAAGACTGCGACCGTTCAACAACGGCGAAATTGATATCCCCTTCGCAACTGAGACGGCAGCGATGGTAACTCAGGTCGTTCGTATCTTTTGACGTTTATGCTGACGTGTTGTAGGGCTGCGAACATGACAGACGTTGACTTTGTCGTACAATTCATGGTGCCGAAGTGACTCGCGATCTTTCAGTGAGCCGGGAGAGCAAAACGCGCCAGAGACAGTCGAGATCAAGCGATCCTTCTTGTCCAACCTACTGTGTTTCAAGAGAGGGGGAAGACAGAACGACGACCAGGTGATGAAACCAAGTACGTTAAGGAAATCGAGGACGGGCTCAGAAGTCGGATCGTGACAGATATGTGCGGGCGAGATGTTGCTGATGTCTCTTTTAAAAACCCAGTACAGCGACAGGGTATGTCTCATCACTGATGCTCATATGTACTAGTCAACTGATAAACATACAGTGCCAGTGGCGGGATGCTGCCATGTCTGCACGCGCCGTGCCACAGATGCTACCGCGAATACAGTGCCGATCACGAGCGCTGCAAGTGACGATCGGGACATGGCCGTGGCTGAGCCAGCTCGCCCGTCGACCCCATTGCGCACCCGAAGTGATACTGTGACGACGCACACCACGCCCAGCAAGCCTCCCAACGCGAATGGCAAGCGGCCCATGCGCGAGGCAGACCCGTAGCCGGATGAGCCAGCACTTCGTCGTGCGAAGCATCGTGATCAGCAACTGGCAGACCGTCGCGAAGTGCTCGAACTATGGCGCAAACGAACCAGGAGGGAGAAATACGCCGAGCGCGGCGCTCATTTCGGCATACCAGGGCTCATGCCTGATGTCGTCTTGACGGCTTTCGCCGCGAACGGCCGTTGGCACACGGTCGACGACGTCAAGCATTCGGACAATAAGTCGAAGACCCGTAGCTTGTGGGTACTGAATTATCACGGGGCCGAAGTTTATGAGGAGCTGGAGGTGGTCGATTCGCGTTATCGGCAGGCTAAGAGGAGGAAGGAGGAGGAAAAGTTGGCTCGTGAACGAGCAGAAGCGATACGGCTTGCGGAAGAGCGTGCAAAGAAAAAGTGACAGGACTAGGAAAAGCAGCGCTAGAAGGAGGAGAATGCAGCGCGCGAGGCGAGAGAAAGGGCGGTGAAAAAGGTGAAGGAGGCAGAAAGACTGGCCCGTGAGCGAAAGAACGCGGGCTTCGAGGCGGCGAAAACGGCGAAGGCCAGAAATAGAGAGGCAAAATGCACCGAGGAAGCTGCTAAGCGTTCGGAGAGAGCGCCTGCCAAACAGCGCAAGGCCCGAGAGGATGAGGAAGTTGGACGTCGGGCGCAGATGGCGGCCGCGAGAAAGATGCGGGGTAACGCGTAACGCCTTGTACGGCCTTGCGCGCTTCGCGCAACATGTCTCTTACTTCGATTTCGTAGCTTCCACGACCTGCTCAGCCGATTGCAGGCCCAGCTCTCCTGCCAGCCGTTTGCGGCAGCGGTGGGCTCAGTTACGCGCCACAAGCTGTCTCGTCAACTCGATCCGACCCTCCTCGATCGGCCGGCTCACGCTCCTCGCCCCGCCGTTCAAACCCGCCCCGTCATTCGTCCCCGCCAACCTTCGCAGCACGCACCACTCACTCCGACCTTCAACACGAACTCTCCGGCCAGTTATCTCGTTGCTCGTCCAATCGTCGCACCTCGGCCGGTTACTCGACCCCGCCAACCTGCGCAACCTGCTCAAACCGGTTCGTTGCCTGCAGTCAATACAGTGGGATTGCCCTCAACTCCATTGGCCGTCGGAACGGCACCACGGACACCGGCGACCGACCAGCATTCCCCCTGGCCCTATCCACCCGCACCGACTATTTCGAACAGTCCCGTACCTACGTCGCGCATTCTTTCCGCACGCTCTGCGGTGCATTCCCTCGCCCGTCCCTCTTTCCTCTCAGAAGCTTCTCACTCGGCCCCTTCATATACGCCTCAGAACTTCTAGACAACCCTGCCCCTCAATCCCCAAATACGCCCTCTCTCGGATTATTACACGCAACGTCTCCCTCGCCCGCGCCAATTCATAATCCTTCGTCCCCGAATCCCTTCTTAGACCGTAGACCATTCTTATAGAGTACTATCTCACATCTATACTATACAGTGTATACAGTAATTTAGACTACTTGTTATGCCTCGGTTCCTCGCCCGCGACGGCCGGCGCGACCTCGGCGCGGCCTTTGCACCGCGGCTGTGCCCGAGTTTAATCCCGTCTCTTAACTAGAGCCGGAGCTCGAAGAGCTGCTCGACGTCTCGTCCTTTGTCGATCCTCCTTCACTACCGCTCGAGAAGATCTGCCAGGACTCCCGCGCAAAGGTACGGTTATCAAACCACCGGTCGGACTGACCTGCTATGGTAAGGTTTGTGATCCCGGCGGTCATCACGTACGCCGCCTTGTCCTTCGTGCGTGTAATAGTACGCCCGGGCGTATAATTGAGCCACTCTCCCTCGACTGCGAGACCCTGGAACTTCGCGACATCGTCGTCCTTGTTCGGGTCGGTGTGCTTGTAATCCACGCGATGAGATAAGCTCATGTTGCCACTTCATATGATCGCGGACCGCTCTGAAGGCTGGTATTGCAGGAGATAGGCTACCGAGCTGCTCTATGGTTGCTGATGGACCACGAGAACGGTACGTGACCTACAGATCGCCTCCATTTAGTACATCCTAGCTTATGAACGTGTAGATAGTCACCTTGATGTCGCCGATGTTCTGCTCCTGTCCTTGATCAATTGGCAGGTGCGTATTGGGCTTTCCCTCACGGTTCATCACCCAGCAGTACCTTCGTATGAAGTCCCTAGAATGTATTGATACTGTGCATCCTCTCCAAACCTTGGAGAAGTTCAAGAACGAGGATGGCGTACTTCGGATTATCGCCTCCTGCAAAGCCTTGGAGGAGGATCGGAAGAAGGTCTTCCAAACGTCCAACATCCCCGTGCATGATCGCATTACGTAGTTCGATGTACGGTAGCACATCGAAGATGAACATGAGCGAACGAGCGCGAACCTCGGCAGCATCCACGCCGGGAGACATGCTTGTCGTAGATCTCCTCCGCCATGAGCGGGAGCTCCTCGGGAGACTTCCGTTGATGTGCAAAGAGATTGCCTGGATCTGGCAGTCCAGACACTTTGCCCCACAGTGTGAGGATCATGCTTTCGGCGACGTGATGGAGCGCCTCATCGAGATGATGCCAGAATGGTCCCTTTGTCTGCACCTTGTGCAGGCCTTTGCGGTTCATGAGCTGAAAAGCACGACGGAGGCCGTATACGGCATCGGTCCCCTCGTACTGAATGAGAAGCGAGTTGCCGAACGCTATCTCGAGGTGCAGCCAGCCGAAGACCGGCACAAGCCAGTCGTAGCGCTCGTAGCCGTTGATGTTCTCGTGGCGGATGCGAGATATGACCACGAGTCGCTCGTACGGGAGCAGATCGCCAGCGATGAAGACTAGCGGCTCATCGGCGAGTTGTCGGAGGTCTACAGACGCATTAAATCCGAGTCGTTTGAGGAACGCGACCAGGATATTGATGTTGCCTTCCTAGCTGGTCACCTCAATAGCCATAGTCTTGAGCATGAACTGCTCGACGACATTCCTTAGATCGGCCGGAAGCTCGTTGACAGGTGGTGGCTGAACAAAGGTCGGATCGGCGCGTTTCTCGTCCGGGTATGACGCGAACTCGGCACTCTTGAGGAGGAAGTTCAAGATATGCCACACGTAGCGAGCTCGGAGTCGTTTGTGGCGTGCTTGGTGTTCAGGCGAGAGCCCGGCAAGATAGGCATGGAGATTGAAGGGCCCCTTGGCGCAGTTCCGCCTGGCGCTCCTTGCTCATGGCGTCCGGAACTTTGACATGCTCAGGGACCGTTCCAGCACACGCGCTGCAGAAAAGCGGCTGAATTGCGATGCGTATGGAGAAAACCCCTTCCGCAATCTGGCAATTGTCGTAGCCCAGGAGCCAGACTCGACGGCGGATGAGCTCCTGCATTCTTTCGAGCTGCTTCTCAGATATCTTCTTATATGCGTCGTTTGTGTACTTTCTGCTGACGAAGCCGGCGGCATGAAGGGCGTCGTACGCGCGTGAACTCAGACCACAAGACTTCAAGTATATAGCCCACGATGTAGCGAGACGGTTGCGCTCATGTGATCGCGTGTACGAAAACATGCTAAAGATATTCATGATGGCCTATAATCATGTGAGGACCGAGAATCTATGTGTTGATCTGCATGATATACGTACGCGGTGGGTTTACTTGTGCGTATTTCGTTCAGCCTGACTGTTACTCCATCCAGCAGCTGTCAAACCCGACCACATGAAGGGTGCACCAATTGCAAATCGCGTGTCAGGGTCGGAAAGTGCAAAGTCGGTGTCGAGTGCGAGGGGGTCCTTTCCCCGCGGGTTCTCGAAATGCGTCGCGATATGATCCATCTCGCGGCGCACGGCATCCCAGGCGAACTCGAGGGCGAAGTCGGCCATATGGCCCGGAGAGGAGTGAGCTCTCTCCCATCTGGTGGGCGAGAGAAGCGACGCAGAAGGACGGGACATTCAGGGTTGTCGGTAAGCCCAGTACGCCGGCAACGACGCTTTTCGTCGGAGGTGCACAAGGGATCGCCCCAGAATAATGCATTCAAGAACATCCCAAGACCAAAGCTGGGAAGAGGCTTGTCAGTGACAGCAACGAAGACGCTAGACAAACAGTCTCACCATTTCGTTCGTGATAACGTCTCATAGATCCTTGGGGCTGCAAGACATAGGAGATGCCAGTCAGGTGCATGTGCTCATAGGGACAAGAGGCGTGAAGAAGGGAGACCTGCTGCATTGCCGAGACGCCTTGCGAGGCAGGCGAGAGTTCGAGGAGAGGCGAAGAAGAGAGAGTCGGGACGGTGGTGGTGGTGGTGGCCAAGAGGCAAGCGCGACTTCGTCGTTGGCGAAGCTGGCGTTGCCCAGGCCCTCATCATCTCGCTGACTCACCCGGGGAGGGAGCCGGGCGCACAGAGGATGCGGCCACTGCCCAGCATGACGACCAGCTCAAGCTGCCATTGCGTCAAGGCCTTTGGTAGGAAGTACACAAACATCCCGGTAACATCACCCGACATTGCTCGAACTAGGCGTTCCGCGAATTGCGGTCCATCTTTTCAACTGCGACCATTCCGAACTTTCGAGTTCTCGTTGTACCTCCGGCCGTGTATTTGTCTAGGGGTGTACCCGGCCTGCTCGTGGGCCTGAACGCGACACAATTGTCTCACCGGGCAAGGACCGACACCTCCGGGGTCACCGACAGTTTCGCCCACCGAACCAGACTCCTTCCCACCGACCGTTCGCTGATTTCGACGTACGACAGAGAGCGACTTGGAAATCGCTCGAGGGCGGTGGGAAGGAGTTTGCCACCGAACTGCCCCAGACGTTATACTTAGAGCAGGCTCTCCAAGCGCGCTTTCGTCACCCTTTGATCTGAGAGAGATCCACCAGGGGATGGCGATTCAGCCAATCGCCAGCCGCCGCGTCACGCGCCATCTCGGACCTTTCCGCGGCCCCGCCGAGACTAGCTCCGACGACGCGTCGGCATCTAGTTTATCATCCCGCGACCAGTTCAGAACCGTGTATTCCGCGGGGCGTACTTAAGACCGCTAGAACGCGTCACGCGTCGCGGATCATCCGCGGCCAGTCCGATCACTCCGCGGCCGGTGCGCAGCGGGGGAAGGGAACAGTGAGTGAATAGTCCGCGCTCTCACCCAACCGCCATGTCACATACGCACCTACCGCAGGAAATGTCACGGAAATGTGGTCTAGTCTCGCTCGCCGATGAACTCATATCAAAGATTGTTCGAGCGGATCTCAGCGACCACCTGGTCTTCTACCGACGACACGCAGTCCCAGCCAATATCTGGAACGCCATATACAGCATACAGCGATCTGACTTCCGTCCGTTGGCGGGTTGCCTCTCGCGTGCATCGCCGCATAGACGTAAACTCAGTGATCAAGCATGCGTGTGCTCGCTGCGCGAATCGGAGATACCAGGACATCGCGCTCCGATCCTGTTCTCGCTGTCGCAGGTCTCCCGGGCGTTCCGCAATCTCCTGTTGCGCGACTGGAATTTATGGCTCGGAGTGATGTTACTGCGCCCGGCGTGGATACCACTCATTGTCGAACGAGTGCCGTCGTCTGCGCTGTTCGACTTCACGCGCGCGCACGGGATATGCCAGCACGTCATCGGTCTGGTCTACCCATACCTCTCGAGGGCTCGAGCTATCGATATCGTCCTTCCTTCATGTACCACAGATCAGCCCACAATATCTACTGCCGCCTATCTAGCGACCCGTTTGATCCATGCCGACCATCTCACCACTATCAAGATGCGCTCCGACGCCAGTGGCCCAGCCGTGCAATGTGCTCATACAATCGTTGAATTGCGCTGTCTTCAGGAGGTCTATCTATTCAACAGCGACGTCGCCTTTGTCGGTCCACAAGTTCGGGAACTCAGTATGATCAACGAAGGCAATCCGGGGACGCAATGGCGCCTTGGTACCTTGCTTAGTGCGCTCGCTATCTGTCGCGCCGCGGAATACCTGCGATTGCAGTGCGTTCTGCGCAGCGACATCGACGAGCGACCTTGGGAATGGCCCGTAGATTTGAGGCCTACTCCGAGATCCTTTCCGAAGCTGCAGAAGCTGATATGTCACGGCACGCGGATGGAGCCTCTCGCCCTTCTATATGGGTTGGATGTGCCCGACACCGTCGAGATCCACTGGGACATGGCGGCGCGGCTGGTCAAGGACACCTTTTGGCATGGGGACGAACCGCTCCGTTTGCCTACACTGGGCTTTGTCGCGCCGGCACGTGCGCGAGAGCTGGTGGACAGGGCATGGGAAGCATACCACGACGAAGTACTAGCTGGACTGCTCCATGCAGAATTTGCCCCTGTCATGAACGATATGGACGAGACGGCGGGCTTGCCCGACGGCTGGAGCGTCGCATATCCGCGCACCACGGTTTTGGGAATTGGTGACTGCGATCTAGATGACTTCATGTACGGCCATCTTGTAGAGACCCAGCCTGACCGCGAGTGCGACGATGAGATCTACAGCATTATCGGCATCGGAATCGGCGCAAGGAACATATCGCGGGTTGACTACCCCGATGCCCCCTCTATCCCAGACTACGTGACCCTCGTCGCTGCGGCGCAGCTGGCAGATGTTCTCGACTCCCTCGAGTATTCGCCGTCCAATCGGCCCGGCTCTGCGAGCCGCTGTCGGTCTCTTACCTTGCATCACGTCGCGACGGAGCACGAGTATGTCAGAGGGCCCGTCGACGTAATGGGCAACTTGGTTGCCACCTACGCCCAATGTTGTCGAGCCGCCGCTGTCGAGCAGCTCGTCATCGGATCCTCACCATCGGTGGAGGTTAACTGCGACTGGTATTGGCTCGAGCTACTTCCGAACCTCCGCCGCGTTGACATCGAGGTCTCAATCACAGCGAGAGGCCTGCTCGCACTGGCTGAAAATCTACAGTACTACGGGGTTGGCACGAAGTTGGCGCTTGTCAGTGTCGGCAGAGTGACGAGGCTCGCCGAAGCACGCTTCTCTCACACCAGCGCATTACTGGAGCGCCTGTCGGCGATCGTGGGGGATCGACCGCACTTTGAATGGGAATTCCGGGAGAGTAGTTGATTGTGTTGCCTCCCTTCGTGTACAGGTTTGTCGCAAATGTCGGATAGCGTACGCTCTCATAAAAATTTGAATTCACTCAAGTCACTGAGCGACGATGCGTTTGAACGTCGGCGTTACTCTGCATTCCCTGGAGAAAGTTTGCAGAATGCTAATGACCTCGGCACGCGGATATCGCGGCGCGAGTCAGATCCGCACAGCAAGACGTCGGCCTCGAGGATACTCGGCTACTTCTCCGAGACTACGTACCATAAAAAGAGACTCACCACGTCGTGGACCGCAGTGGTGTCCCGCGCCTCGGGACTTGCATAGTCAAAAAGATTTATGTCCGGCGCGCGATCGGGAGGAACCTGTATGCAAAACAAACAGCATGAGTCCTGCTAGAGGTACACTACGTATACCTGACGTCAATCATTGAACACCCGTATGCTACGTTCACCGACTTACCATACTTCCCACTGAAATGGAACATCGGCTCACGTCTCCGGCAGTCAACGGTCAGTGCGGTGGCGCGAGGTCCCTCAGAAAAATATCCCCTTCAATGACATTCGACCGTACAAATGGCGTTCCCAACTTGATCGGGAGGAGAAATGCGGGGGAGGAGGTACAGATGGCCCGTCAGGTTCAGGTGCGTCGTTCCGGGCACCCCGACCCTGCGCTAAACCAGTCTCAGCTCGGGCGCGAAACCCGGCGACGACTACAGCTAACGTCGACGTCCGTGCCTGATCCCTGTAGCTATTTCTGCCTAATAGAGCCCCGAATGCATCATGTGTGGTTCTTTCCGTCCCAACGCTCACGCTGATCGACGGCGGCTCGGGTTCACCCTCGCTGCGCTTCTCGAGCGGCGGCGGGCATGTTTCATACCCATCTTGCCGTCGACTAGCAAAAGTACTGTGGCTTCGCGGTGGCTCTCACGGTGGCTCACGCGCCTCCTCTAAATCGCTGCCAAAACGTCTCGGCATCGCACGTCAACTTCCATTCGCTGACGCTTGTGTGTCCAGGCCCCGTTGCCTTTATACGTGTATCATCTACCCTTACAATATACAGACATACTCACTAGACCCCGCTCCTGAATCGGGCAGCAAGCATATTGCTCTCCTCTGCACATAACTCGTCGCTCGTCACGGAATGGAACCCTGTGAGTCGGTTACTGTCCCACCCGGCTCCTAGCGCTTTTGAGCTTCGACGATGATGTTGTAGATAATAACGAACTCCTGTTGTATACGCCGACGCCTGTTGTTTCGGGTCTCGATGAGAAAGTCGAGATCGTCGAAGGGGTTTGCTGGGTGCTGCATGCAATTTATGGCAAGATAGATATCCGGTTGATCCAGTCGCATGAGATAACCTGTGTTCTCGTTATGTAAAGACCGCATAAGCGTGGCCAATAGTAGGTAGAAGTGATCTTTCGCTTGGCTGAGCAGAAGTTTTAGACGACATATATCAGTATAGGTGGGACGGAGGTACGTTCCTGTGCCGACTTGGCGCCGTCGTGGGACCTGCATGGAGATAGGACATGCGTAAAGAGCAGGTTGCAGTACAATAGCTCACAGATACTCCTTCCTATGTCTCCTGCCTCGATAGGCTGCACGTGTCCCAGTGGGGTTGTCTGGTGCGCGGAGAACGCGCGAGGAACGCACTCGATAGAGCGGTGGCGCACTGACGTTCGGCGACACGCGACCACACGTCTCAAGCTATTCATCAAGTTCAGCAGGCCATTTGTAGCCTCTTCGATGCCGATTGGCGGCAGATGTGTCGCTGTGCTAGTTCTATGCACGGCGGAGGCGCCCCGAAGCAGGTATGTGACGCAACGCGGACGGGTACTGCGTGAAGATGGTGTATCCGCTGTTGCGTGTCAAACGCGAGTACTTGATACAGGCGGGACCGCCGTTGCCGGTTCGGACGCGCCAGATTGAAATTTAAGCAGAAGAAAGGCGCGCGGGATGATCGTCGGCGTGGGATGAGGTGCGTAGCCGTGTGGAGCTAGAGCCATGCAGCAACAAGTCTGTGAGGGTGTAGGCTCGCCCGCGAGCGAGTTGCCGTGCGAGATGAGAAGTAAGCTAGGGGGATACTCAAATGACGACCAGAGCGTCAAGTTAATTTCATTCTGGAGGGCTGAGAGAGAAGAGGTAGAGACGAGGCTGGCAGTCATGCTGAGCGATAATCAGCGTAGTTGAGAGAGAAGCGGTGCGTCGAGAGAACGGATGGCGTATCAATGAAGCTCATACCAAGCTTGAATACTCGTCCCCTGGCCCGGACCCTTCCACCTCTCTGCGCCATACGCACTTATCGTACTGTGCAGGTAAGCGCAGCAATCATCAAGGTTTTTCGATATGACAAAGTCCATAGCATGGTGGAGGCGTAAGGCAACGGACGCGTTCAGCTGCGTCCCAGCTGATCGTGGAAGATATCTTGATCTCCGCCATTCAGAATGCGGTCATCCGCATGCCGCATCTTGCTCCCGACTCCTGTGGTCCATGACAACAACGATACGCTGTGTTTAATTACCCTCCGGAAGTTTTTGCTCGCTGTTCCTGGGTGGCGATTCCGGAGCATTAGTTCGCCGAGGGAGACAACCTTCAAGACACTCACGAGGTTTACTGTGTGTGCGCAATTCATCGCGACCGTCCGGGTACATCATATTCGCTATGAAGTTCAACTAAGGTGAATTTCCGGTCTGTGAGGTGACTCTTGTCATTCAGCGCGCGGCGACGCGCAGCGTTCGCATTTTCGAGCTCGGTGACAGCTCCCTGCTGCTGGCGCCTTCCTGACTGAACGCGATACTGAACGTTCACGCTTGCAGGTGTTCTAAAATCAGCAGCTACGAACGATGTCCTGTCGGCATTCTCCGATTCTTCGCGGCAATTGGTTGCTCATGCTTTCGCTGAAGTGTGCGAATATCGCGCATGAACGTTCCCGAATCGCTGCCACTACGTAGCCTTTTGCATGTCAATACGGGAAAGCGTACAGGGCGGGCTTCGGGGCCCTTCTGATCAACCAGGACTGCGTAGTCCCGGGGGTAGTCCTGTGGGCGGCCCCAACGTAATGCCTGATTCGGACGGCCGATTCGCACTCGTATCTTGGGGACGTGCCGGCGTGTCACGGCGCAGCGCGCGCTCTACACAGGAGTGAACAGCCGGGTCACGACGCCCGGTACGAGGAGTTTGTCGAGGTTGAGAGACAGAGGGAAGGCGGAGCTTAAGCAGAGGAAGGTCAGGAGAAGAGTTCAGAAACGCGTAAGACTCACCGGGAACGATCGCTCGGGCTGAGCTCTAACGGGACGCGATATTGCAACTGAGCGAGTGGTAAGAAGTGTACAGATTTTCTGTACGGTTGGCGCCAGCTTATATACTACTAACGAAAACACAATATATAGACAAGGAACTTGCTAGCAGCTATCTTCGGTAGCTGCTCTGTGAAACGTGGAACATCCTTCCCCCGAGGCCGACGCGACTTGGAGTAGAGTCGGGTACCGCCTGTTACCGTATGGAGCGCACGGCAAGTGCGTCGGTCGACGCGCCGTCCGTCGTCGACCATCGCTGAGGCTTGCCCGAGTACTGACACAGAGATTGTATTTCCAACAAGTTGACCAATTGATTAGTCGTTTCAGTTGGCAATATCACGACATGAGCAGGGGGTATCGAGACAATCATGGAAGCGGGCAACCCCACGGCTCCCCGACGCCTCTGCGAATAGAAGTGCTTTCGCCCCCACCCCTCGCAGCCTCATCCAGGTCTCGGATCAACACCAGCGGATATCAAGGAGGACGGGGGATGAACTCGGTTTTACCGCTGTGCAAACCCCAGTTACTTATGTGCTTAGAGAAGGTGGATATAGAAGGCCGGGTACGTTTCCTGGACGGTATGGCGCGAGTCGGCTGCCGGCAAAGGGGTCGACTTAGTCTGGTTTCCAGACGTTTACTGTAATAGCAGGCCCTGCAGGCAGCGGCTCGGGGCGCGGGAAGGCCCGAGAGGGAGCGCTCAAGCGCTGAGCGTCAAAAGCCAGGATGCGACACATTCCGCACTCGTTAGATGTCCGTGATGTCACAATGGTGACGAAGTCGCCTGAGGACGCTGCTCGCGCGACTCACCGCGAACGTCCACTACGAACGATCGCCAATGCCTAAAGTCGAGAGAAACCTTACACATCCTACGCTGGGACTATATGACTATACTCCACTACTGCTTATCGAAGGCGTCCGCAAGATTGTGGTACCGCGCCTGAGGCACTACGGGGCACGTTTTCTTCTGCGCTCCTCTCCCTTCGGCTGCGCGCCAACCTAGCGATGATTAGGGCATAGTGGCGTTGGCACAGAAGAAGATAGCGCATCTCAAAGACTTTAATGAGGACGAACTTATTTGCAAATCGACATCGGTACCTGGTCTTGAGGGAGAGGAGGTTGAGATCAGCGAGGAGACATGGGCCGACTTGGTTCCCCGCCTCAAGACTTTCAAGGTAGTGCCAGGGCTCATCATTCGTGCGTCGCCTTCATCCCAAGTAGAGAACATCTTACTAAATCTCTGGGTAGCCGTTGATGGTGATGTCAAGAATGGCGGCGCCGCTGCTGTGCCATGTAAGGGCGCCTGGAGTGATTGATCGCAGGCGGTCAAGCCTCATGAAGTCAGGCGTGCCCGTCATAGCTCATACGCTCATGACGTGTCCGGATTCAATTGTCAGACATCTCAAGCAATGTTTGTCAGGGTCCGGCGGGGAACATCATGCGGAGGGTGTTGTGCTATGCATTCTATTGTACAGTGCAGTACACGCACGGCGCGCCTGCTATCTATCAGTCCAAGAACTGTCTCTGATCGTTACTTTCAGTGTAAGTAGAGAGACTCGAACGTCGGCTGTGGTAAGTCAAATCAGTTGCTCCACCAGTACTAGGCATTAAAGCGGTATGTCCCCATTCCCATTCATCTGGAAAGTCGTGCGGGGGTCTTGCGTCCATAACAAATGTTGAGACGTAACGCCGGCCGGGTTTTATGCAAGCCGCTTGGTATATCGAG